CTACACTTTTGTACTTAATTGTACAAGATTTGAGGCAGGTGCATCTGGTCACAAGTCCGGAGCGCAGATTTGATCCCCATTTCGAGACTTTAAGGTGAGCTGCCTTCTGAGCCGTTCTGCAGCAGCTGGAGTCTTCTTTATGTTATATTTTTCTGTCTATTTCCTTTCAAACACTAGATTAGTATTCTTTTGTATATTCTACTAGAATGCCCACATGCTTGTGACACTAGGTCTTGGCACACACACTAGTAGACTTATGATTTTGGATTTGTTTACATGATTTTGATTTGTACTCACTTGCTTCCGTTTAATTATGTTATGTTTGCAAATCTCTAAATCTTTTTAACAAGTGAGGACATGTTATCCACTTAGTAATTTATTTAAATGGGAAACCACTAGTTTGATCAGTATTGGCTTGCCTAACAACGGTGTTGGGCGCCATCATGGCCTAAAATGAAATTGGGTCGTGAAAAACACGATTGTAAGGCCTCTGATTATGCTCACTCAAGTTCAACCCATATGTAGGGCCATAGAGTGGCTCAATCAAGCCCAATTCTTATATGGTGCATTAGTAGGGCCTCTAACTATGCTTACTCAACTCAAACCATATATTAGACCATCAAGTAGCTCAATCTCAGCCTATCTTAGCGCGTTAGCACCTACAAGCAGGGGTAGCTTGCCCTGGCCACTGTGGCTTTCATGCTCAGAAAGTTGGCTACTTCTACATTTCTAAATCTGTATCTGAATACACTAGGGCTTCGTGGATAAAATGTCTACTATACCAACTCACGCACACTATGCCCTCGTGGATAAAAAGTCCACTAGACCAACTCACGCACCCTAGGTCCTCGTAGATAGAATGTCCGCTAGACCATTTTCTCTTTCTAAACCTGAACTAGAAGTCTGAGCAGTACACGCAATTGCACGTAAACAAGTCATCACAATACATCAAGAAACTAATCATTTTTTGTTTTAAATCTGAACTGAGGGTTTGAGCATTACAAATAACTTCAAATACAAAAATAATTGCAACAAGTCATACTAGTTAATCTTTCTCTATCTTGGAGGTTTTTGCTTGTATACATATATAGTTTATTCTGAAAATAAGGCAAGCAAACAAACAATATACTATGCACATTCTAATCTTGCCCTTGACTTAGGGAAGAAACCTTAATTCGCCCTGAAACAATTTTCCGGCAATTCCTTAATAATCTTGCGTAGCCAACTCATTGAAATCTACAATTTAAGTGGTTAATCCCGTTAATCTAAACTATTCATTCAACCCAATTCTTCCATCAAAGTCTCATTTTTTCATTTTTTTGCTTATAGTTACTTCTACCCTTAAACTCCATCGATCGTGCATTCCATAGTCATAATATATTATAAATATAAAGATTATAATTTAATAGTAGAAGTAACATAAATTACCTTCTTGAAGAAACCCTAGTTCTTTACCTATTGAGTTCTTGAAGATGATTTAAGGATTTCAAGATGAAATCTTGTTAGAATCTATTTTGGGATTAATAATCTAACTATAATCGCGTTAAAGACTCATCTTGGGCGTTGGGGAATGATTTTGGCTTCATATCTCCTTGAAAAGATGAAACTTTAGCTCCTTGGGGGGTTAAGAATGAAAAAATCAAGGTCCTGGGGAAATCTGTTGGCCTGGCCCCTCAGGCCTTCCTTGAAAACCAAAATCCCGAACGAGGACGAAATAAATAGAGAAAATTTTGTGGGGAACTACATTGCAGCTCCCTATTATTTTTCAATTACTAAAGCTCTAAAACCTAAAAATCAATAGAAACGCATATGGGGTTGGGGCTCGAACCATGGACCTGCACAAGTTATTGAAACGCCTAACTAATGGAGCAAATGGCACAGATCGATCAAGATTTCAAAGATGTGACGTTACATTATCTATACGTCAATTCTTTCTTTTGCATATTATTTATATTTGTATCCAATCAAATTTTCAGAAGAAAACCTTATTAATTAAGAAAACCTTATTTCAAATATTTGAGTCTCTGCATTCTAATCTTGTATCTGCATAACCAATACGATCTGCACCACCTTTGTTAGCATTAGCAAGATACATAAGTGCATAACAATTGCACTGAGATAGAGTATTTCAGGACCAAGGAGTTCCTCATCCTCTTCTGGAGGTCGAAACGGATCCTTATTCACTTCAAGTGATCAAACACCCATTGGTGTAGTTAATGGGTGCACTTTATCCATGTAAAAGCGTTTAAAGACCCTTTCTGTATAGGCAAATTGATGGATAAAGATCTCGTCTGCTAAATATTCAATTTGCAGAGCAAGACAAATTTTTATTTTTTTCAAGATCTTTCATCTCAAATTCTTTCTTAAGATATTCAATTGCCTTTTGGAGCTCTTCTGGAGTTCCAGCAAGATTTATGTCATCAACATAAACAACAAGTGTAACAAATTCTGATGACATTTTCTTTGTAAAAATACATGGACAAATAACATTATTTATGTAACTTTCTTTCAGCAAATATTCATTGAGGCGATTATATTACATGCGCCCAGATTGATTTAAACCGTACAAAGATCTTTATAATTTGATCGAGTACATTTATCAAGACTTTAAATTATATGCTTCAAGTATTTTAAACCCTTTAGGGATCTTCATATAGATTCAATCAAATGAGTCATATAGGTTGACTTGCATTTAAATGGCATGATATCATGTGTCTGGACGACTGGACTACATGTCCGATCCTCACAATCTTTTACAATATTGTGCACTATATTGTATTAAATATATCGTTGACGATCATTTTGTATCAGTTCCTAAGCGAAATAACTTGTTGAGATCTCATCACTTTCTTTATTTTCAGGTACCTGAATTTTTTCTGGAGTTTCATGAAATGTTATGTCGTGGGCTCTTCTAGAGCTCATTTCCTCCTCATTATGATCATTTTTGATCATTTGCTCCTATCATTTTTCAAAGATTGTTACCTTTGGAACCGATCGATTTACTACGCTTTATGCGTGTAGTAAATTTTATCCTCAGGGACTTTAATTTTAATAGGAGCATTTGCAGTTGTAATATGATATATAATTTTGGATCAGCAAATGCTTCTGGCATTTGACTTGAATTATCTTCCAAGTGAGGATCATATTAATGATAATTCGATTCATATAACATATTTTCCAGCTGTTTATTCCATCCCCATATGTTAGAAAAACTAACTCATATCCCCAATCTTCTTTGGGAAACATATCTTTGTGCATTATGGTAGAGAAATTAATCATATACCACACATCAAAAGATAGTAAAATATTCGGTTTCTGATCCTAAACCAATTGTGATGGGAGGACTTATCATATATTGTTGGTCTGATGCATACAAGTGCTGCTATATGCAATTTAGAAAATCCTAGACCAACACATGAAGCTTTGTTCTCATAAATAATAGTTTAGCCAATAATAGGAGCTATTCGCTGCTAAACTAGCTTGTATATAAACCAGTATTATCAAGATGAATTGTCTTGATTTCATAATCTCAAAATTATGCTCTTAAGTGAGAAAAGCAATTTCAAATGCCAAACTGCAGGTTGATAATAAACATACATGTAACCATCTTATATATGCATCTATAAGTGGTTCACATGATAGGTGAATGGGCCCATATTCACCTTTTATATATTTCAGAATCAGAGGCCTTAGTCCCAACTTTAGCTGGTATATCAATTTATTATGAGAACAAGCAACACATGAGAATTCTTGAAGAATCTTCTAGTTCTTCAGTATATGCTTATCTGAATTCTCAAATAGCTCATTTAAAAATGGCAAATTAAAACTTCAAGTTTATCATGGCATGTGCTATCTCTTAGTAAACTTCTGATTTACCGTGACTTCTTTTGCATAAGTAAACTTCTAATTTACTGTGATACATGATATAATATAAATTGAAGAATAGGGCGGGTAACTTCTCACATACATGTAATTTTACGCCCTATGATTGTGAAAATATGAAGATTTTCAATCTTCCAATCATTTATAGTCTCAATATGATAGTCATTTGTATTAGTAAACTTCAGGTTTACTACAATATGTTTTGACCATAATCATATAATATGAATGACATATTTGTATATAAGCTCTTCGAGAGCCTTCATTTATTATCCACAAATCTAATATTTATCGGACACTACCGGTGTCATGTGTCTTCTAGACAAATAGTTAGCTCTTCAGGAGTTGTTGATACATTTTGTACTATCAAATATTGCTCAGACACTTCTGGTGTCATGAGAGAAAATCACAATCAAATAAACAATGTAAAACAATTGTTTAAGCATAAGAAAACTCTTCTTCTTAATATTTTCCTAATTCAGGAGGCAATTTCAATTATGTTACTTCTTTAGGAGCAAATTTAAAATACGAAATATTGAGTATATATTCTCTCAATTATATTACCTCTTCTGGAGGTGAATTGTAATATATTTACAGCAAGAGCGCGTTCATATTTACGAGATTTATTAATATTGTCACATTCACTTCAGGGGATGAATTAATATTATCAAAAGTTCTCATCCTTCAGGAAATCGAACATAATTATCTGAATGCGTATTAATCACATCAAATTGTGATGCTTCAACCTCTTTTAAAATATTTACTACTTCAGGAGCAAATCGAGGCGTGCATTTAATATAGAGAATATTTATGTAGCTTATCTTCGATTGTAACCATAGAAAGCCTAAATTATCACTTCTGGTGATCATAGGCATATATCACTTCTGGTGGTTAACAAAATTTAGTTACAATGATATATACGAAATATAACCACTTCTGGTGGTTGTATATTTCTTGCAAACTCTGCTAGAGTTTAAGTTGATCTAATAATGTTATCCATATTCTTCAAAATGACATAAATAAAATATTATAGTAAACATCATTATCAAATCATAACTTTTATTTATGTACAACAATTACATCACCATACTATCTATTACAAACAACAAAAATTAAAATATTTACATTTCTACAGATTCACCAACGATCACATGCCTTGTTTCTCCTTCTGGGAGTGCAAAAGGATCAGCTACATCCAAATGCATGAAGTCTAAATTATCTTCAAAAATAAAATTTGCTTCAGCATTTTTCTCTGCCTTCTTTAGGGAGGCTTGATAAAGCTCAACCAGGTGCTTTGGCGTACGACAAGTATGTGACCATTGCCCTTTTCCTCCACATCTATAGCATGCATTTTCTGCATTTGGTGCTTGCACCGCTTCATGCTTTTGTTCCTTCCTTTTCCACTGCTGGTGGTGAGGAGGGTTCTTTGGTGCATTATTATTACCATGATTAAAGTTTCTTCCCCAACCATGGCCATGACCACGACTGGAGCCACGACCTCTTCCACGCTTAGCTTGGTGGAAGTTCATCTCATTCACTTTAGGGGATGGACATGAACCAGTAGGTCGGTTTTCATGGTTTTTCATTAATAGCCCATTATATTGCTCGGCTACAAGAAGATGTGAGATAAGTTCAGAATACTTTTTGAATCCCATCCTCGATATTGCTGTTGCAGGAGCATATTCGAGGCATGAAAAGTGGTGAAAGTTTTCTCCAACATATCATGATCAGTAATATTATCACCACATAATTTCAATTGGGAAATAATTCTGAACATAGCAGAATTATACTCACTGATAGATTTAAAATCTTGTAGCCTTAGATGAGTCCAAGAATAACGTGCCTGTAGAAGAACGACCATCTTCACGTGGTCATATCTATCTTTCAAATTATTCCACAGTATGACTGGATTTTTAACAGTAAGATATTCTATTTTCAGGTCCTCATCAAGGTGATGGCGTAGGAATATCATTGCTTTGGAACAGTCTTGGTTTGATGCTTGATTTTTATCCTTGATGGTATCTGCCAGACCCATCGCATCAAGATAAATTTCAGCATCAAGCACCCAAGACATGTAGCTTTTGCCCGATATATTCAGGGCTACAAATTCAAGTTTAGAGAGATTTGACATTATTTAGAAAAAGAAAGTTCGTACCTCTGATACTTTCAAAGTATTTGCTCGAGATGGCAGAGTCTCGTGCCGATAATGTGTTATAAAATAACGACTGTAAAGTAAATAAACTGAAGACAAGTATAGAGAGAAATTGATATATTATTCAACTTTCAAACTGATGTACATAATAAACTGAAATCTCCTCTATTTATAGAAGAAAGGAAGCTGATGTGTAAGCTGCTACTGTACCAGATATAGATAATCTTCAACTGGGGGTAATGTTTATCCATAACAGAGTATCGAAAGGATAAACTTATTGTACCCGGTATGGATAATCTTCTACTGGGGGTAATGTTTATCCATAACGGAGTATCGAAAGGATAAGCTTATTGTACTAGGTATGGAAAATCTTCTACCGGGGGTAATGGTTATCCATAACGGAGTATCGAAAGGATAAGCTTATTGCACCCGGTATGGATAATCTTCTACGAGGGGTAATGTTTATCCATAACAAAATATCGAAAGGATAAGATTATTGTATCCAGTATGGATAATCTTCTATCGTGGGTAATATTTATCCATAACCGAGTACCGAAGTGATAAGCTTCTTCACGGGACTTATTTTCAATAGAGTACTAAATAGATAAACATATTTACGGCGAAGTTCTATATAAATAAACTTTTTCAAAAAACTCATTTACAACGAAATAATAAATGAACATCCATAATATAATACATTTATAACATGTATTAGTTTATAGCCACCAGGAAAATTGTATTACAATTCCTAAATCGTTTGCGATAAGAACATGTAACGAGGTAAAGAAGGTAAACTGAATGGAGATTCGAAACGAAAAGTACACCGATCTCCATCGTCAGCCCACGTGTAATTTGTCTAAAACAAGCGGGAAAGAATCACCGGCTATGACGGTTAATCGTCCATTCAGTTTCTTAATGCATTAAGGATTTGTACATATATGACAATATTACCCCTGGGCCCTGAATAACACCATCACACCTGATTGTATTTGGAATCCGACAAGGATAAGAATACGTGGCTGTAAAGCACATTTATACCTCTCCTTCCTAGCCGGCCGTTAAAAAAAAAGAAAAAAAAAGAAAAGAAAGTGGAACACAAGATTTAAGCAAAAAAGGAAACGAAAAAAATAATTCGGGTACCAAAAGGAAACAAATAGGAGTCTGATTTGATTTGAATTTTGGAATCTCCGGCGATGGGACGGGCAGAGATGGTGGTAGGCCCGTCGGCGGCGGCGGTGGCGTACCACCTGAAGAATGAGGCAATTAGTTGGTGGGAAGAGGTGAACAGATCTCGAGCTTGGCAAGACCGTATATTCCACGTCCTCGCTATCCTCTACGGCATTGTCTCCGCCGTTGCTCTTGTATTTCTCTCTTTCCCCCCTCTGCTTTTTGAAATTCTGAATTTTCTGAATGTAAATTGGATGTTATTTGGTAAGTAAGCTCGCGCACACGCATACACACATATGTATCGCAATTCGCAGATTTATGAAAAATCTGATAATTGTTTCGTGTTTGCTTGTCTATTAGGTGGTAATTTACTAGACCTCGTTATTGTGAGTTTTGAATTGAATCTTCTGTGCATCGTGTAACTTCAGAAATCAATCGGAATGTCAAGGGAATGAAATTACACGAGAGCTCTATGAAACTTTCAAATTTGAGGCATATTTGACTTGTGTTTGGCGGCACTTGCAACAAATATGGAAACTTGATAGATATTAAAACAAAATTTGAAACGGAAAAGGAAAGTTAGGTAAAACGTTTAATAAATGATTGCATGGTTTTTCTCCCTGAAAGTTTTTGATTGTTTTTAGTTTTTTTTTTGGGTGGGTGGGTGGATTGGAGTTCACGCTGGTCATTTAATCATGGCAAATTATGAGGAGGTCAGGTGAACCAGGGAAATCTGCACTTATAATATGTATGTATATTTTTGGTTAAAGTTAAAACTGTTTTAATTTCTCACTAATTTGTTTACGTGTGGGAAAAAGAGGGGCACATTTGTAGTTTGATATTTGAAGCTTCACCAAGTTGGTTTTGTCTGTGTCTCATTGATTGATTTTGGTATACTTATTTAAAGTTTAAGGTCATATGTGTGTCCGCGCACATCAAATAATTATATTGTTAATCAGTTGTTGCTCTCAACAACTGTTCTCGCTGGCGCAAATACATAAGTTTATCTGCTGCTGTGGAATTTTTTTCTGACGTTCCAACTTGGCAATTTCAGGTTCAATTAATTCGCATTCAAATGAGAGTTCCTGAATATGGTTGGACCACTCAAAAAGTCTTCCACTTTCTCAATTTCTTGGTGAATGGGGGTCGGTATCTTTCCTTATTCTAATTTTCTCCCCTTTAAGATCCTAATGGGGAGTTTCATTACCCATGTTTTTCAAATGATTAGTCCTATACGCTACTCTTTGTTTTGATTGTTGGCTTTGTTATTTAATTGTCTCCCTTCATATTCTTTTGCAGTTCGCTCGCTAGTTTTTGCATTTCGGCGGGATGTTCAGAAATTTCACCCCGAGGTTAGGCACCACAACTATCTTGATGTCCGTTTGATGTCTTTGTCTGTGCGCTCCTTTCAGTTCGTAACGTTGTATGCTACATTTTGGCAGATTGTCCAACATATTTTGCTTGATATGCCAAGTCTTGCATTCTTCACAACTTATGCCCTGCTAGTGTTATTCTGGGCTGAGATATACTACCAGGTTCTTGTGGTCTCTGTCTCAATCTGTGCAGATTATTCTCTTGTCGAGGTTTATATATCTCTCTTTCCCGTGACAGGCACGTGCCGTATCCACGGATGGGCTTAGACCTAGTTTCTTCACAATTAATGGAGTGGTTTATGCTATCCAGGTAATTATGTGATAGTTATGCAATTATTTTTTGTTGAATAAACAGTATTACTTTCTTGTAAGAGCATCAACTTATTTGGTGCTGTCTATAAATAAACTCTGGTCTGGGAGTTTGGACATCACTATATTTATATACAAAAAAGAAAATCAGGTTTCATACTATCACTGATTTTCTTAATTTACAGATCTTCATTCTTTGCCTTTGTGTATTCTTTTTATTGACTTAATTTTATCCAATATTTCTTTGTCATTTCTTGATTTTAAAACATATTGTTTATTGTTGGTCTACATAGTGTGTAAATACTATTTCTCAAAAAGAGAAATGAATAGATGGGCAAGACAAGATTTGCCAAT